CTTGATTTCAAATGTTTTGTTATTATCCTAAATCGTTTTTTTTTTCTTCTTCCATGGCTCCACTTCACTAGAAACAGATGTTTTGCACTGCAGCGGTCACACTTTCTATCTTTGTCTAAAGTGCGAATTGTATCCCCAAAGACAGGCAAGGTCAAAAATGTAGACAAAATGAATCTTGCATCCCCCTCAGGCCTCATAGTTACCTATTTTGAGCTGTATAAATGCTGCAGCAAGCTACTCTTAATGCACTGCAATTCAAAGAAAAATCTACTGCCACAACAGACAAAAACATCATAATTCTTCAGAAAATGGAGGGTACAAAGGAAATGTACCTACTGAAAACAAACCAGCCTATTTAGGAAAGATAGCAAGGACGTATGCGCCGTTAGGATAGAAAATGAGACCTTAGAAATTAGCCTTAAGGCTAACTGATCAATATTAAACCTTTTTCTTCAAAATTGCTTAATGGAGTAACAGAAGGAATGCTAAGCTGCATTTCATTATTATGTACCTTCGGACTGCTCAAAGCATACATTTGCGATGGTCAGATTCTGATAAAGCCACCACTTGTAGTCCATAAAACCACAAACACGTACCAAGTCCATTAGCCTCAGTCGCCTGTGACGACACTTAAGAAACCCACTGATTAAATTTAAATTTGGCAGCTTCTCACAAATCATTGAACACCAGCATTGTTTAATGTACCGTGGACACAGCATTACAGGCAAAGAAGCTGAATTTAAAAAAAATTTTTTTTGTTCACGTCACCTGTGGTGACAGATAAGCCCACTTTAAGATTTGTGAAACTATACTTACAATGCGCTCTATGCTAAATTTAAAATGCTAAAATTACTCTCTAGGACAGATGTAGAGAAAAACAAAGAGTGTATAACAATTTTTTTTATCAATAATAATCTTTGCATTTCATATAGCACCTTATCACACTTCGAGACATCTCAAAGTGCTTCACAGAATATACTGTAAAGTGAACGGACTACATTTTGTGGGCGAAACACAGCAGCCAATTGCTCGTGGATGGAGTGACCAAATTATTATCATTTTTAAAACAAATTCTGAAGGGATTACTGCCACCAGAAAATTGATCTGCCAATTAACTAACAACCAGGTTCCTACTTACTGCTAGATAAACAGAGGCGTGTGGAGTAAGGAAACTTGCCCAGTGTTTCGCTCTGCCCGGGAATCGAACCTGCGTCCTCTCACTTGCAAGACAAGTGCTCTAACCACTAAACTACAGTTAAAAATAGTAATAACCTACCTACATGACTTGCAACACATGCACACAATTTGAATCCAATACTTCCTTTTAAAATGTTATTTCAAGCATTGAGAGGCAGCATCTAGAAAAATGTCATAATCCCCCCCACTTCCCACCTACACATACAGCTAATTGCATAATTAGTATCCATCAATGTTGTGCAATCTTACAGTTTGTGGTAATTTCCTAATGAATTAATGTGATGTGTTCTCTGCATATCTCTGGAAATTGTGCCTTAGCCTCCACTAAACGCTGCAAGAATCTGCTATGGTCTTGTCTCCATTCTTCATGTAAAACCGAGCAATTTAATATAAATAATACAACTCTACCTGTACTGTTTCTCCAACAAAGATACAATCAATTCACTTTACAGTATATTCTGTGAAGCGTTTTGAGACGTCTCAAAGACTTGATAAGGCGCTATTTAAATGCAAGGATTATTATTATTACTACTACTAATGATTTTAATTTACATTAAATGTACTACTGTTTGGGCTACATATAAAATCGATAATGTTATCACCATAACCACTCTATGTGTTTGCTTATAAAATATAGTCACCACACTTTACACTATATCCTATAAAACACTTTGAAATGTCCTCCCGACATGAAAGGCACTATATCAAATGCAACGATTATTATAATTAATGACACCCATCATTTATTCATCACTAATTTTAAAATGCAATGCTGACAGGTTTCTTTACAACTCAGCAACACACAAGCAGTTTATAATCTGTTTATAATTAATCGATTATAAAGCACCTCATATTTGTCAGCAGAAATAAGCAGTGACAACCCATTAAGCAAGTAATTGACCTTGGAAGTCATTTAATTGTTCTAAATTGATCATCAAATCTACATGAGCAATAACAAAGCTACAAAGCACGATTAGAATTTCAATTATCTGACTGTTCCCCAATCCATCTAAAATTACATAAAGCTATAACAAGAGTAATAAGAGCAATTTGCATTTATATAGCGCCCATCACGTACAATATTTGAGCGCTTTACAGAGACGGCCAGACGCTTGCTGCCCTGCGTGAGCTGGACGGTCGTCAGGTTGTATATCCGAGTTGCTGCGGGATGAGAAACCTTATA